TTGGAGCAATTCTCGTCTGGAATATATAGGTTGTCCTGAGTCAGAATCTCCTGGACCGCAACAAATTTGCTACGAGCTATGTTGAAAGGACATTTTATTGCAGACTTCTCGTCAACAGGCGTTTTGAAGGCTGTAAGGTTAAGTAATTCCCTGACTTTTTAAGATTCAGCAAGGAAATCTCATTTCAGTTTAACTTCACTCCAGCTCTTTTTCTAAAAGTGAATTCTGGGGCCTAGTGGGTAAGCAGTTGTGCTTTCATCTCAAATGTTCACAGTTCAAATTCACCAGCTGCTCCAAAAGAGAAAGATAGACAGTTTCCTCTCGTGTGATTTATAGCATCTGAAAATCAGCTGAAGGGTCAGGTATGAGATGATTTGAGGAGCAATAATCCTGGCTTGTAGAGAGCAGCCACTAGATGGCGCAATACTCTAAATTATAAAGAAAAACCTTGGCGGGAACCTAGTTTTCTGTGTTTTGTGTTTTTTAAAATTTTTTTAAAAAATTATTTCTAGAATTAGTTTCGATTAATAACAGTGATTGGGGTAATGGGGTAATGGGGGTAGGTGTCAAAGACAGTAACGTTGGCACAGAATAAAGCAAGTTTCAGGCTATTGTACATAGGGGTGCTATGAGTTGCAAGCGACTTGATGGCACATAACAACAACAATTAGTTTCATTTACATTATATTTCGTTTGTGTATATTGTGAGTTTCCCCTCCTTTCAATCATCTTACTAATAACTTCATGAAAGCGTGTAAACAAGCTACCTCAATCCCTAAAGTTCTCCTTTTAGCTCGTCAATATCTGATCTCTGGTGGCCTACCGGCAAGAAAGCTGTGCTGCAATCCCAAAGGCACGCGGTTTGAGGCCAGTAGCTGCTCCAGAGGAGAAAGCTGGGCAAGTCGGCCTCTGAATACCCACTAGAGGGTCAGCTATGGGTTGGTTCTGACTCTACAGCACACCATAACAATAACAACTTCAAACTAGTACTCTGAGAAAACAAGCATGTCCTTTTTGTGGAAAAAATCCTCTGTTCAACTTGGGCAACTTCGAGTACCTGTATTCACGAGCCAAGGCCAGTCCAGAACAAGCCATCAGGTTGCAGCAATTAACCCTTGTTCACAGTGTATCCCCAGCCATCTGTGACTAGGTTCAAAAGGGCGCACTCAGGAATCCACACTTCTCCTGTATTCCAGATCTACTGATCTCATCCAGCCCTAGTCTCCACAAAGAGCCAGGCCAGGCACCCTCATGACTCTCTGCTCTTCAAGCCAACAAGCTTTCCTTGCTCATCCACAAACTTGTGAATGCTAGGTTTTTACCGTTTCTTAAATATTTCTTTCTAGTTTTTTTTCTCCTTACCATAAGTTGTTATTGTCAAGTGCT